AATTCAACTATGACTATAACAAATTTGTGACCGCAAAATAGATTCTAGATACGATCTGTCATACTAAAATACGAATATCACGCACTTGAAAATCGATTGAGGGCAAAAGTAGCATTTTGACATTCTGAAAATATAAGCGAAAGGCCTGGCTGCATAGTTACTAGTACCAGTCTCTCTCCATTTGTTTACAGCTGGTTAATGTTAACGAGGGCTCAGGTTCTATGGCGGTGAGTTTGGTTGTGTTTCAGTTTGAATCAGTATTATCTTGGTTTAATCGGTAAAACAACACTAAAAACCCACAATGGATGAAGATATGGACTGGAATATAGACCCAGAATCTAAAGAACCGAAAGAACGGCAGAGGAAGCCTCGCAATCATGCAGGCCCGCTACCAAAGGCCATTTATGATTTGTTCCTCACTGCTGTTCGCGCCAAGAAATTAAACAAAACTCAATATCCAAGTGGTCCAGAGTTAAAGGCGATTGGTTTCCCGAAACCGATAGGAGGACACACAAGAAGAGAGAGATTTAAACACTGGGCCGAGAGAATGGACTGTGCGTACAATCCAGAGACGGGAACTGACAGTTTAATTCATAAAAGAACTGGGAAAATTATTATTCCGTTAGAAGAATTTGAAAATGTTATTCGTGGGATTCATGAAAATAATGGCGAAAAACATAATGATCTCAAAACAACCTTGAGTGTCGTAAGTATTATTAGGCATTGTTTTTGTATTGATTATATTGCCTTTAGGATCCAATCACTATACCTATTTTTAAAGTTACTATATTATGTAGTTTTGGATGACGTCAGAGTAACCTCTGGCCATGACGTACCACAGGACAAACAACAGAAGCGCAGACTTTATACATGCAGTAGTGGAACTTGTGTCTGTATGGGCATTTTTCATATTTATCAATTAGAAACTAGTGCCAAACAAGGTCACAAAAGTTTTTCTCAAGTTTTTTTATTAAAAAGCCATTTATCTTTCAGTTGGCATATTGAATGAATAACTAAGACATATGTCACATGAAGTAGCGCTATATGTTCGTCTTTGTTTACAAACCCTTCATGTTCATGATTTTTATTGTTTTTCTTATGAATTATTAATGAGCATACTGATTTAGATTATGAAATATTATTTTGATATATCATCTGCCC